TAGTTTTTAGTGACAAATATTGTATTATTATAGAATGTGTATCACTAAATGACAAATATTTTTTATAATATTCATGTCTCCTTGTAATTTGTTTAAAAAGTTAATTAAATAATTAAAATTAAATATGAATAAGTGATTCACAATTAAATTTCAACAGTTGAAAGTAACAGGGAATACAAATTAAATAAAATAAAATAAAAAAGACAATAGTTAATAATATATTATAGAATTTCATAGATAATAGAAAGGATATATGGTATGAATAATTGTAGATTAAGTAAAATTTAATGAGTTTAATTATGAATGGCTAACACTATTGGTTGAAAAGGAGAGGGAAGCACGAGAAAGAGACTTGTCATCCGTATATGTACGGTTGTACCACCAATTTTCTTAGCCCCGTAAGTCAAAACTTCAACACACTGGCTGCTATTTAATAATTTCCACACTTTAGTCTTCAACATATATGAAATTTCATATATTTTGTGTAAGAACTTAACTCGTTCACAAGTTTGAGTCAACAGAAGACTTGTCTGATCACAGTTAGGTGATTCAATTGAAAACTTTTGTTGACCAAAGAAAAGTTGGAGCAAATGTTTGTTGGGTATCAGAAAGAATGAGCGGAATGCGGAAGCACCGGATCAAGTTAATTAGAGATAGAGAGAAGTAAGTAGAGAGACAAGAATAAATAAATACACACCAAATTTACGTGGAAACTCCAAAGACGGAGAAAAAACCACGGACGATCAAGAGCAAGATAATTCCACTATGTAGAAATAGGAGAGTACAAGAAGTTCTCTAATATTATGAGAACAAAGAGATAATCTCTCAAATATAGACTAAAAATACTCTCTTGAATCTTTCCTCTCTATGTATGATTTTTCTCAAGTGTGTAGATTGCTGAATCAATAATACCTTCGTGGATAATATATTTTTGCGAATTTTAAAATTCGTAGGAAAATTTCCTGCGAAATTTCTTGCGAAAAAAATTCGCAGGAAAGTTTCTTGCAAAAAAAAATTTGCAGGAAATTTTCCTGCAAAAAAAATTCGCAGGAAACTTTCCTGCGAATTTTTTTGCAAGAAATTCTGCAGGAATATTTTTTACGAAAAAATTAAAAAAAAATACTATAAATTATATATTTTAAGAATTCATAATCTTTTATTTTCATGCCTCATACATAATCTTTTAAATTCTAAGATTGTAGATTATAAGTCTAACACTCAACCATACAATTCAACTTGTAAGGTAAGTGTTGCCCCAACTTATATACTCTTTAATTGTTTTATTTTCAATCGATGTGGGACTTAGAGATTTTTTAAAATATTAAACTTATGAATTTAAATATTTTTTTTATTTTTCCTGCAAATTAAAATTTGCAGGAAAATCCGCAAGAAAAATTACCTGCAAAATTTTTCTACCATTTAGTAAACATTACTTGCGAATTTATTTTTGCAAGAAAATCTGCAAGAAACAAAATAAAATTCTTACAATATTTTCTGCAAATTTTTACCATGAAATTTTTTTCCCATGATTATTAAAATTGTAGCAAAATTTGTAAGAAATATCTGTAAATTATTTTTTGCAGGAAAATTGGCAAAAAATTTCTGTGAATATTTTTTTGTAGGAAAATTCGTAAAAAATTTATGCGAATATTTTTTTGCAGGAAATTTTGCAAAAACTTTCTACGAATATTTTTTTGCAGGAAAATTTGCAAAAAAATGACACTTTTCTAGTAGTGTTTGCTTAAGCGTGGATCAACCCCTACCGCTGAACCACACGCTTGGGGTTGTTATAATTTCTTATTTAATAATAATTAAAATTTTAAAAGAATAAATTTTATCTATTTATTATTATTATTATTATTCTTTTACTTTTTACACAATTAAACCTCATTGATTGGGCCAAAATGATCTGATAGTTTTATTTAATTTTTTTTACTTTGTTTCTTTGTATTTGGACAAACATTCTTATAATATTGTGTTGTAATTTATTATTTATTAATTAATTTTATTATTTAAATGAATATATGTTGAGATGTTGCTTTAATATTTTAAAATTCCAAGAATTAAAGAATTCTTACAAGTTTAGTTATTTGGAATTGTTTTGTATTGAAGTCAAGTTGATCAAGTTTAAGAGAATGTATATAAGATTTTCTTAAGACTCGAATTTCATAATTAAATTCATATCTTAAATAATTATAAAGAGAAGTTTAGAAAGATAAATTATGGAGTCAAAAGATATATTCATCCTTCTGACTCCATAGGAGTGCTTTAACCCTTTCTTGAGGCTTAAATTGAGTTGTTGAGTTGAGATTCAAAGCTTGGGAGTTGAGAATCTGGAGTTTGAGTTGTCATACGACAAGAGCTCAAAAGGTCATGTTCTCCATCATTCTTCCACTTTTCTTGTAGATTGAAGTGAGGGAATCTTATAGATTACTCTTGTTGATTTTTATTTTTTTTGTGTTAATTTGGCCATTGGTAATTTTGATGGTTGGATTTTTAAGAAGTTAAGATTGGTGTTCTTGGTCTTTAATTATTCTTGGTAGAATGAAAAAGAAATTGATGATCTTTCTTCCTTTAAAGGTTGCATGTTGTTTGAATTGATGAAATCAAGTTGATTAACATGTACGTATGTTAAATTTTGGTTTTTTTTGGTGATGTACGGGTAATTGGAGTACAAAAATCGAGATTCTACAGAGTATAAAAATCAACTTCACACAAGATGCATCATCATTGCATTGAGCATGAATGATTTAGAGGTTCTTTGTGTCATAGACTCCAGGCATGAATGATTCAAAAACTCTCTATTTTGTTTACACTATGTATGGGGTGTGTGGTGTTGGGCATGAATGCATTAGGGACTCTCTGTCTCATTTATGTTGGGCGTGGGATGTGTGGTGTGGGATGACTTCAAGTCAAATATTTACTTTAATGTAATTTTCATGTGAAATGCTTATGACATTTATATAACTATCGTAAAGTTTTATCATGATATGTTTATCTAGCGAAGTGGTCAAGGTTAATACAGATGATTGTTCCTTTGGTAATCCAGGTTGAGTTAGTTTTGGTGGTATTGCTCGTGTCTCATTGAGTTTGCAACAAATTTCACAATTGAATTTGAGTTCTATGCAATTTATTATGAACTCAAAGTAACAAAAAAAGCAACTTATCTATGCATGAGACTAATTCATCCATCTCATTTGAATTCATTTCCCATGGAATTGAGGTTTATCATTCCCATACTAGCATTGTTAATGCTATATGTTCCTTTATGTAGTTTTCTTAAAACCTTTTCTTTCTACACACCTTGAGATAAGGCATCTATATGTTTTAGACTACTTAGTCAACGAGGGAGCTAACTTTTGTTCTTCTTCTTTGTTTTTAGATGTATGCCCACCAACTTTCAAACCTTCTCTTTGTATTAACATCACCATCAGAATCAGTTTCAACATTAGCAGCTTCAACAGGATTTTTACCTTTTTCTTGCCTTTCTTGTTTCTTTTTCAAGATAAAGCAGTCGGAGATATCATGCCCAAATTTCTTGCAATAACGACAGGTTTTGTTGGTTTTACGCCTTCTGGATTTGGATCTACTTTTCTTGTTACTGGTACTCCCTTTTTCTTGAGTTCTACCCCTAACACTTAAACCCTCACCCTTGTCCTCAGAGTGGATATCAAGATCAAACTTTTCTTTGGACAACAAATTAGATTTAACATCTTCAAAGGATAAGGTATCATTGTTGCTATACAACATAATTTCTTTAAAGTGTTTATAGGTAGAAGGTAATGAGACAATCAACAAAACAGCTTTATCTTCATCATCAATTTTAATTTCAATATTTTCCAAATCCATGATAATAGAATTAAACTCATTAAGATGAGATTGAATAGGAGTACCTTCGACCATACGAATCGTATATAGTCTTTCTTTGAGACGAAGCTTGTTTGCGAGACTTTTGGTCATATAAAGAGATTCCAATTTCAGCCACAAAGCAGCAGCGGTTGTTTCATTTGCTACTTCACGAAGAACCTCCTTGGACAAGCATAGTTGGATTGCTGAAAGCGCCTTTTCATCCAACTCGTCCCATTGCTCATCAGTCATGTTGACCGGCTTTTTGGCTTTTCCATCTAAAGCTTTCTTCAATCCATTCTGTGTAAGAACGGCTTTCATTTGGACTTTCCAAATAGAAAAACAAATCTTGCCATCAAACTTCTCAATGTCAAATTTAGTGACGGTAGACATATTGAATCTCTAATTAAACAAGTAGCTCTGATACCACTTGTTGGGTATCAGAAAGAATGAGCGGAATGCGGAAGCACCGGATCAAGTTAATTAGAGATAGAGAGAAGTAAGTAGAGAGACAAGAAAAATAAATACACACCAAGTTTACGTGGAAACTCCAAAGACGGAGAAAAAATCACGGGCGATCAAGAGCAAGATAATTCCACTATGTAGAAATAGGAGAGTACAAGAAGTTCTCTAATATCATGAGAACAAAGAGATAATCTCTCAAATATAGACTAAAAATACTCTCTTGAGTCTTTCCTCTCTATGTATGATTTTTCTCAAGTGTGTAGATTGCTGAAACAATTGCTATTTGCTCCAAATGCTTGATGCCTTATATAGGCATTGAGAAGAAGCGTATGCACCCAAAATAAGGAAACCTAGAACAAAACAAGGAGCAAAAAAGAGGAAACCATACATGGAATCATGGCCTAAAATCAAGGAAACGTGTTTTCCTTAAAACAGGAAATATGGAAGAAATTTGTGCCATAACTTTACACCTTTAAGTATTTATTGAAGTAATAAAACTATTTAAATAATTCTTAAATATATATCACGCGACTAGATGATACACCCCCTATAGGTTTGTAAAGAACACTAATAAATCATTATAAAAATTACGCTAATAATAAATTAATTTATATTTATTAACCAATGAAGAAAATAATATATTCATACAAAATAACCAATGAAGAAAATCCAGAATCCCAAGAACTCAATTCTTCCACGTGAAATGAGGCTGTGATTATAGAATACTATTACTGATTGAAAGGAAGACTAACCATTATAATAATTTAGAATTACTTTACAATCCAGGAAAAAAGAAATGAAGAACCAATTTTTGAAATTTGAAACCATGGAAATGCCTTGTAGGATCTTGGAAAGCATTCAGTAAAATTTCTAACATGCCTTGCAGCTTTTCCTGCAGTAGCCAGGAAGGTCCGAAGATCCAATCATATACTCGGGATTGTTAGTGCATTCTCCAAGGGAAGCCCATCTCTCACAGCTTACATGATTATCAGAGCAGTCCCCTCCAGTTTCCACATTCTTATCAAAAGAGTCTACGTGAATCCATTTTGTTGCCGACCATTTCTCACCTTCGATTACGGGGCATCCTGCATGGAGACTGCTAGTGTCTGGGGTAGCTTTTGTGTCAAGACTGAAGAAAAGAAGTGCGTCCCCTCTACGCGGTTTTACTATGCAATGCCAGGTAAGAAGAGAAGAACGACACCTTAGCACAAATTGAATGGCAGAAAACGGGACATGAAAGTATAATATGAAAGTAATTACTGATCCAGTTTCCCACCTGCTATTCCTTTTTTGGCACATTCAGAGAGATCACTACTTGTTTCAGAACCTCTGCGACGTGGAGATTCCTGTAAGCAGAAAGAAAAATTAGATATTGGTAATAAAAGGTAGAACGGAAGAAACTAGAGAAGAGAATCTTGAGAACATCATATGGACAAAAGATATTGGATCTCATCCACCGTTCCAAGAACCAATAAACGAATAGTGTGCAGTGCAAGTGTGCATAATATGTACTTCTACATGTACAGTTAAATCATATACTCCCTGTCCGAGTATCTAGCCAACGGGTCCCGTAGTCAAATACAGACACTTTATCTCCAAAATTATCTGTTCAGTTTCTAATACTTTCACTATTTAGTATCGACAATAACATAATATATGACCATCTAGTTAAAATGTGAGAAAATTTCATAAAGATTAGGATCTCAGGCAAGAAACTTGGCGCACTGAAAAATAGAATTATTCATTCCGATAAATTCAACTGGCACAACAAAGTGGCACTAAATGAACCCAGCTTGACACCAAGGTCATTCAAAGACAGAGAAAAAAAAAATCTTAACAAACTACCACATGATTTTTCAAAGATACACTTTATTATTACTGATTTATACAAACCTCAGCAGAAGGGAACACTGTTTCACCGCCTTTGGTTACATCAGTGAGATACATGAGAACAGTGGCGACACGGTGTCCACCCCGAGCAATAACTTTATCAGTGAAGTAATCATAATGTGGGTCATATTTCTGTCCATGCTCATATCTCAATACTTGTATATCTTCCCCATTTTCTGAAATTCAATCACAAAACATTAAAAGAAAAACTGATCAGTGGTTGTTGATATGTGTGCGCTTAAACAAACGTAGACCTTTTTAATCATTTAACCGATAATACAGATAGACGCTCATTCTTTTCTGCGGTCCCGAGCTTTGCAGGAGACACAATAATTTAATATACGAATGAAGATAATTTGCATGGTGATACTATTGATTCAGAAATAAAGGTAAACTACTCTTCTCATCCTGAAATAGTGCATCACTTTCAGTGTTGGGTCATCTATTTTAATTTCCTTAATTAAATAGTAACATATTTTTTTTTTTCTTTTTTTACCAGTTCATTGAATATTGCTAACTTGCTCATTCAGATGAACTGAACATAGTCATGATTACCAGATTATCATAGAGCAATACACTCCTTTCATTTTTTTTCATAATTGTTATGACAGTATTTTTTTACTTTTTTATTGTCACTTTTCTAAAATCAATAATTTATTTTTTTTTTACTCTTGATAATTAATGTATATTTACTGAATAATGTATCTATTTATTTTTAATGTATTATTTATTTCTTCTTTAACCACTTATGTAAAGTTAATATTGCATTTATGAAGATAATATATTTCCAACAATATTATTTATTCACGATTTTTTTTTTCTTCTCATAGTATTCATTCAAGAATTAAGATACCCAAAAAACACAATTTACTTAAAGGTATAATTAAATAGAGTAAAACAGGAAATATGGAAGAAATTTGTGCCATAACTTTACAATGTTAAATATCTTAATGTTTCGAACCTTTAAAAGAATGCAATCTAGTTATAATATTTAAGCACATATAATTTATTCTTAAAATATAGATTTTTAATTCTTTAAATTTAAATAAATATATTTTTTATATCTTTAGTTTAAAATTAATTTTTTAGTCTATGTAATTTGAGAAGAAAAAAAAAAAAAGAGTTCATTTTAGTCCATCTATGTAATGACCTAGTAAGTCTCAATACTTTACAACTCAACTACAACAATAAAAAGCATAAATATAATTTAACCTAGTATTATCATGCAAATAGTTCTCAGATATTCATGCATAGTATATATGTAAGGAATAAACAATTGAAATTCATTCAAGAATTAAGATACCCAAAAAACACAATTTACTTAAAGGTATAATTAAATAGAGTAAGTTACAGTTCACATGTGTATTCTAATAATCAATGCATTAATATATAAACTTCTCAAAAAATGCCTAACAACAATAAATATACACAAATCAATAGTCTCAAAACTTAAATGCAAAAAAAAATAAAAAGTATAATAAAAAAGTAAGTAATAAATATTTTTAAAAAATTAAAACATCAATCATTTCCTTAAGTTTAGTAAAAAAACCTTAAACATGAAAAAAAGGAGGGAGTACTTTTTTATCTTTAACTTGACCTTTTATTAATGAACTTGCTTTTAAAGCAAAGTAAGGCAACTACAAGAACAGCAAGTGATGACCACAGAAAATTTTGAAATTTATTTTCATAAATTGTGACTTCCCACTCATTCTCATGAGAAATCAAGCATTCTAGAACTAGAGAAAGCTAATAAAAATCCAAGTAACGATTGTCCATCCACAAACAAGTAATTAACAATACAAACCAAACACAGAGCATTGCCAAAAACATATCTGCACTAGGAGGAAATAAAAATGTAAGTCCACACAAACATTACAAGGATAGCATGGAGATTGTCGTGATGATTCTATATCGGGAGTAGTACCTTTTGGAAGAAAGGTCCAGGATGAAATCTTGTCCTCAATACCAGAAATAATAGGATCCTATAGATAAAAAATAATTCAATAAAATAAAAAAATGAAACTAGAAAAGTTCAGTCTATGCATCAAAGAGAGAGAGAGAGAGAGAGAGAGAGAGACCTTGTTCTTGGAAATGAACATGCCAGAGCTTGTTCGAACATCACTTAGCTTGCTCTCTCCGGAGAGATTATCCGCTACGGCAGATCTCTTGAGCTCCGATTTGGCCTAAACGAAGAATAATAAATTGTTTAACAGAAGAATTGAGGGAAGGCATGAGAGATATGGTTAATGCATAACAGAGACGAATACTATACTGACTATAGAGATCAAGTGGTCGCATTCCAAATCCGTGAGGAAACCTTGGTAAACGAAAGCTCTGCACAAGTGGATGTGAATTTCATGAATCGACGCAGAGACAGAGAGAGAGAGAAGAGTGAAGAAGAGAGGTCACCTTGGCTTCCAGGAAATCTGTTTGACCTTGGAAGGGTTGATGATGGCATAGGAACTCCACACTTGATCGCATTTGAAGATCAGCAGAAGGAATAGCAGAAACCAAACCCTACTCATTTTCGATTGATTGCCGATTGCACTTTCTTTCTCTACATTCCAAATCCAGGTTGCCGAGCGGGAGGGCTGTTTTATGTGGGACCATCTTGTTTAACTCTATCTTTACCAAAAACAATAACAAAATCTTCCTTAACTCTATTTTATACTTCACAAATTAAATTTCTACTTTTAATAAATAAAAAATGAGTTTAGTGATAGTGACGCGTGTGTAAGAACAAATTACAAATTATCATGTAAATGACTTTTTTTTTATTAAATTCAACATACAAATTTAGAAATATTTTTTTTAGGGAAATTTTGAAATATTTTTGAAACATCTTTTATTGAAAAATATTATTTGTTTTTAATAAAAAATTCAAAATATTTTTAATTTATATCCAAATATATTCTTAACTTTCAATTAGTTCTTGTTTTCATCTTCCATTTTTATATTAATTATTTTTTCATGAGAAATATTTGAGGAAAAGTGTTTCTACTTTTTAAGGTAAAAATGCTCAGAATTCAGATATACTCCCCTCTTTATTTATTAATTTTAGTAAAAGATTGCAAAGTTAAGTATTATATATACGTGGATTTTAAAATGAAACATCTAAACATTAATTTTCTATGCGATGATTATTGAGTGCATCTTTAATCTATCATTTTAAGCATAAAAATATAAAATCATATTGGCCCTAGAGACCATAAATGCTAAGTATTATTTTAAATGTTTAAAATTACATGAGATAAATGTTACTGTATGATTTGTTTGGGTTAATTTTCATAAATTTTTTTATGAAATTTTAAATGAATGAATAAGAGTGGTTGATGCTTGCTGACATATTATTCTGTTGCAAACTGAGTTCATAAAAACATTGTAATGACCAGTGAATAGTTTTTAAGTCGTAAAAACTTTAAAAGAGGTTAAAAATAACAAATATTTTTGGATAAAATTATCATGCATGCATTACTTATGTGTATTAAAAAAAATCATACACTTTTTTTTATACGATTATAAATGTATGTGAAAAATAATAGGGTTTTAAGCGAAGTTTAGGCTACAAAAATAATTTTTTGTTTCAAAATAACTGTATTAAAAATCATACTTTTTCCATTTTTTCTATCCCACCCTGCTATTAAGCCATTAAAAATGAGTTAGATTAATGTTGTGATAGGTTGAAATAATAACAGTATAACGCACCTTATTTCAAGATGAATTCACATGTTGACTAGTTAAAAAATAAAATAATATTAATTAAGCTAAAAAGACAAATAACAGAGCAAGTTAAAAAGAGAGAAATAATAAACTCTTCCCCCATAATGTTAATACGTATAATTTTTAATTCAATTATTTTCACACGTATAGTTGTAAGTGTTGGGACAAAATGAGGTTGATTATGAAGTAATATTTCCTTTACTGAATGCTCTTTATCATTTTTCAAATCAATAAGACTTGTTTGTTCGGTAAAGAAGAGAAAGGGAAAAAGAGAGAGAATAAAATATTATCTTCTGTAATATTATTTTATTTGAGAGAAATAAAAAATAGTTAAGTGATAAGAAAATTTATTATTTACTAAAAATGAGATAAGCATATTTATATAAATGTAGATTTTATTTAAATAAAACATATCTATGTTAATTTTAATTTGATTATTTTTTTAATTTTACATTTAACATATAAAGGAAGTTAGTTAGCTTAAATGATTCTAAATTGTATTGAAAAAGAAAATTAAATAAAAATAAATTTGGAAAGTAAAATAAAACAAAATAATTAAGGATGAAAAGTATAAATAACTAAATTTCTAAGTCAAGAACATGTTTAAGCCATGAAAATGTGTGAATTAACACATACGACACAGTTAGTTTCTTTTTTTTTTTTTAATTTTATTTTAGCATAGAAGTATGATAGGAAGAGTAAGGATTAAATTTGTATCAATTTCTCACTCGGCATTAATAGTTCAGAATTTTTCATTAATTATATACCTTACTTAAGATTTTTAAACTACTCATTTCATATATACAAAAATTATTTGAAACAAAACTTATACACATCTATCATTACCCAAAAAGTAAATTTTTTAAATGGACTTTTTAAAAAGACAACTAAACCTTAAAAAACCATATCAAGTAAATTAGAAATAGATTACATTCAAACCTTACATTTGAAAAATAGGTCAAACTTAGTCTCACAAAGTTTAATCTAATTTAGTCCACCTCATTTTCACTCTTAATTGATAGATATAAACGTCATTTTCACAAACCCTTAATACATGATTCCAAGGTAAAATCATCCTCTTCCTTAAAAAATAGGTGTTATTGAATGACTCTCATGAAAACCAATGAGAAATTTGGGAAGATAGAAACTATGCAAGAATCATTTCCAGAAAAGGAAGATAGATTACGCTATGCTTGGCATTGAATATTAAAATTACAGTATACACCCCATCCCCACTACAATTATGCAACCTTGTTGGTCCTCCTATCAAGAATGCCATTCGCCCAAATTAAATTACATGTTTAAAAAATTATTTATCAGGTAATAATCAATGTGATAATTTCATATACAAAAGGGGAGAAAAAAGGAGTTGCTATAAGGAGACGATAGTATCCGTTATTACATACTTGGAATAAAACTCCCCCGGGCACAATGTCAATGGACATTGCGATTAATCAAACCCTCAAATATAGTGTACAGATCCTTGTTTTCAGGCCCAAAAATTTCATCAGCTTTCCGTAGCGTCTCCTGTAATTTTATGCAAACAAATATAGGTAACATAGGTTAACAGAAAAGACTGTGTGTTGTGTGGGGTGCTAGGGGAGCCCATTAGAGATATGGGAATCTATTTTTCCATCTTTTATTCGATTCATCTACATATAAATTCATTTAATCAATCCATTATAATGAAAATAAATAATGGATGAAATCCAATACATCCATTCAATTTTATGGATGATTAGTGATCTATCCATTACTTTTTCAAACTCTATTGAACTACAAATTTATAATATGAAATGATTATTGAATTAAAATTTTAAAAGACTATTTTAATATATAAAAAAGTTGTGTGAATTTTTTAAAAAATTATATAAGAATGTAATAGTTTATAAAGAAAAGAGAGAAATAAAATATTTCAAAAATAAAAATTATTTAATTTTCAAAACATTATTTTCATTTATGAATAGGATATTCATCCATAAAAAAATTATTAATGGATGAATGAAATGATTTTTTTCTCTTTAAATAGATAAGATTTTTCAGTGAATTTTTAATGGATCTATAAATAAATTGATGAATTGTTTTTATATAATCTGTTATATTTGATTTAAGAAATTATCCGATCCATCTATTTTCGCCTCTAATCTAGATTGCATGTGAGAGAGTAGACAAGGCAGAGTAAATACCTCTTTTGTTTGATTATGGGAATTCAGTTCTTTAACATTTGCCAAGAATGCACCAAATTGCTCGTAAGACAAACGGTTCCTAACAAAAACAAACAGGAGATAAAATAGTACACTCAACTAATTAGCCCAAGAGATTTACATTTTCCCATAATTTTCAATGTTTCAAAGATCCCACTCACCTGACTTGCCGAAAGAACTCCTTCCCATCCACCCGTGTTCGTCCTACAAGACCCGGTCAGAAAATATAAAAGTAAATAAGTCGTCATCTAATAAAAACATTTCTTCATAAGGCAGAAATGGTGGATTGATGTAAAATATTAATTAAGCATCTCATTTTTCATATGCATGCAAGATCCAAGAAAAGAATCATATACAGAGTGACCTATTGATAACATTGATAAATACAATGTTGGAAGAACTCACCAGTTTGTGATCCTGTTCCAGGGTCATTGGTTGATATCGAGGCAAACACGGAAGACCTGTCATCATACATGCCTCTCGTGGTTGAAAAGGAAATTGAATGTCGCCTTGGAGATACAGGTTTAGATGTTCTCGTAGGTGATACTGATGCAGATAAACTAGGAGGAGAACCAGGGGGAGTAATCCGAGGGGTGGAAGTTTGAGATGCTAAGATGAGATTCTGTGGTACTCTAGGTCTTATGGCTGCAACAGTGGAAGAGAAAAGAATAAAAGAAAGGTAAGGGTACACCTGCAACATTATAGTTGTTCACTTTTCTACAATATCACAATATACACCATTCTGTATGGTCTTTGTTAATGTAAAATGAAATGTCTGTATGTCCATTCCATCATAAATTAGTAGTACTTACCATCAGATTCCTGATCCTCAGCAAAATAATTTCCTGTTGAAGAAGATATAGAAGGTGGCAATGAAGCATCGTTATCTGCAATAAAATGATCATTTCTTAACACTGGAAATGAGAAAAGTGCAGCCGAAGGACCTCAACTGTGAGGGTCTCTTTGCAAAAGCAGGAGGGGGAGGGCTATGAAAGGTGAAAACTACAAAGCGTGCTAAAAATAGAAAGGTTTCCTTCCATTCAAAACTCCCTATGACCCTAATACTCTCCCTTTCCCCTCTCCCAAATAGAACCTGAATTGTTTTCATTAGTTTTCTCTCCAAATTTAAGCAATTTAATGGGGTCAGAACATCAGATTGAATAAAATCATTAAATTGGTTTAGTTACAGCTTATGCATTGGATTGTCAGCTAATATTAATGACAGAACCAGACCAACAGGCCCAAGAGTTTTTAGACACGATAAGTTATTTTCATTCTTTATTGTTCCTCGAATTCACAATTTATTGTCCAAATACAGAAAGATGCAAATAACTCCCATGCAAGATTCGTGACCCCCTGCGTAGGAAATGTTGGATCACTGTGCAGTGAAGCATGTATTGTTTTCCTGCAAAACATGGCACTGCCGTGGCCACCAAAGAAAAGGAGAAGATCCAAATCCTAACTGTCTCTTGATAACCATATTGCTATTATTTAAACCACTGTTAACACAAAATGTGCCAGTGCAGGCATCCAAATGACAAGATATTGACTCCATATTCAAAGAATAAAAGCGTTGTATATGCCTTAAACGATATTTGACATTCTTTGGCCAGCAGTTTTCTGAAGTGCATGCCAATTTCTTTACATAGTCTTTACAATAAGGAAATGAACTGATAAGAATTTAAGTTGCTATATCGCCTACTACCAAATTGAAGTACAACTCAGAACTCAAACTCGTTGCATGAATAAAATAAATTAAACTAACAACTTAAAACAAAATGCAATTTACGCAGGGCACCAAGTATCAACAGAAATGCAATGTTGTAGAGTTGAATAGCAAACAAGTTGAAAGTACCTCCAAACTGCGACGTGGAAGTCAAACTTGATTGACTCTGTATTTTAGCAACAATGTCTGCGGTTCCTCCCTGAGCCAAACATCAGTAAAAGCCAAATGTTCCATAAGGAAATACCCTTGAAACAAATAGCATAACTATCATAAAAAATCCATACATGATAACGAGAATAATTCAGTAAGATATTATGATGGAAGTGATGAACCTATTGAATAGTTCAAATTAGTCCACGATGATGATACTTACACAGAATACCGAACGCTCCTCATCAAATTCAAACAAAAAAGTAAACCACTACAGAACTTTTTAATCAGACAGCAGAGTTCAATAACTATAATGTTAACTTACAGAATTATCATCATCCTCCTTAAGTGATTGCATAAGCGTCTTTCTGAAAACCTCTAACTGCAAATATTTACACCAAAGTTCTCGTAAGTCCAAAATTCACCCATCAATATTACCCATACATTATGAGCATAATCCTAAAACTATTTAACTTAAAAATCCCGCCCCCAACCCATCTAACTCGTCACTCTACTATAATAATAGAAACGCAATTATATTTTCATTTCATTATCATTTTCATGTTTTTTTAGCGGATAACCCCAATTTAAACGAAATTACAATGGCAAGTTAATTGAAGACAAGAACAATTGAGCCCGCAAAAAAATAGGTTATAATCGAAATTGAGTATTCAGAATAACCGAATTCCATTAAAATGCACCTTGGAGACATCGCGATTGAGCTTTTTGACGGTGTTGGAAAGCGAATCATTCTCCTTGAGCAAGCTCTCCTATAACCACAAAACACAAAAATAATTAATAATTAATTTAAATTAAAAAAAAAAAGAGTGAGAGAGAGTGAAATTTGATTGGAACCTTATCCTGTTGAGCGCGGAGGAGTTTGTCGGCGGTTTCGGAGAGTGAGGCGTGGAGAGAGTGGAGCTGAGATTGAAGGTCGGCGATGAGGTCATCCTTCTCAGAGATCTGGGCGCGAAGTGTGGAGAGGTCTGATTCTAGGGCATTGACACGTGTGGATAGAGCAATGGAGGTGATCTTGCGTGCCACGTCGAGTTGCTGGAAGGGATCTGACGGTAGCACTTGCACCACCTCCTCGGGAAGATCGAAGTTTGTACTACCACCCGATTCCGCCGCCATCGCCTATACCTTCTCTTCTTCTCTCTCTCTTTTTAATATTATTATTATATGCTACTTACTCACTTTTCTAGTTTTCTTTTTGTTTATTTTATCTTCTCTGATTCTCTTCTTCATTTGGTGGGTAGCGGGTTGGCTTTGGCTCATCACATGGATCCACTATTCTAAATACTTCTTTTTTTTCCTTTAATAATAAAATTCTTTGTATTTTTAATTCGATGCCCAAATGTGTGGCTTTCCGAGGTTCCAGGATGGATAGGATTCCAAGACAAAGGAAATTAGTAATTTGATTTGTTGGTTAAGTGTCATTTATGACTTCTGACACAAAATATAAGATCAAATTAATGCATGTTTGGAATAGATTTAAAAATCTTAATCTTCCATTAAATGTAAATTTTACGTAAAAATTAAAATTTTTTACTTCAAGATAAACGTAAAAATTTACGTCCTAACTTAAATACAAACATACACTTAATTTGATTAAAAAACACCAATGATAATAGAGATGGAAGAAAGATATTAAAAAAAAAAGTTAAAAATAATGTGATGTAAAAGAAAAAATAAAAATGAAATGGAAAAAATTGAAGAAAAAAAATTAAAAGACACAAATAACGATACATTTGCTTTCATTTAATTAAAAACAAAGAAAATAAAATGAGTTTAATAAACAAAAAATCAAAATAAAAGTAATTTATTATCTACCTTTATATTTCCACTTTGGTTCAGAACAGAGTATAGAAAAATAAGTGAAAGAAAAAAGTAGAAAATAAAGTAATTTTTAGGTTGTTTAGTTGGAGATAAAATAAAAAGAAAGAGAGGTAAAAAAATATTTTTCTTTTGTTTGGTTTTGTAGAAAATAAAATGAAAAATATTTACAAAATAGCATAAATATCCTAAATAAAAAGAAAAAGAAACACGCTTGCAAGGATATTATAATAATTTGATTGCATGATTATAACCTTGTGCCGTTTTCATTCCAAATTGGACAGGAAGTATAAAAAGGTTGATCCGCCTATTTTTCATATTTATTTCTAGCATTTAGCTAAATCAAACAATGGAAAGAAATAATCTTAGTTTGCTTTCTTTCTTTCCGTCTTCGTTCTACTGTCTTAATTTTTAAAAATATAATAATTCATAGTTATTAATATTTTTATAAAAAAAAAAAGTTATCAGTTCAATCAAATTTTTAATCTAATATGTAAAATAAAAAGAATATAATTTAAATTTAGTTAATTAAAAATATAAAATATTTGAATTGAATATACATAATGGCTATAAGTGATATCCATTTTTTTACTAGGGACTAGGGAGTAGGGACTACATAAGTCTTTCCCATCATTGGATGAGCTCCATCGTGACATGGGTCTTCAACATTTGGAAGTGGGCTGGGCTAAACTTGTGGTAGGCACCATGGTTCCTCACTTAAGTACTTAATTCCTGTTGAATATTTAATGGAGTTGAAAAAGAGATGTATATTAATACTCAGTGTTTTAAAACCCGGATCGACCCGGCCGGTCGGACCGGTTGGACCGGGAACCGGTGGTCCAGCCGGGTCGAAGCTGGAG